CCGTAGATATGATACATACCGGGAAAATTCTGCTGCTTTGTTTATCCGCCGTCCCCAAGCAGATTCACATCCGCGAACAGCCACATCCGACAAACACCACTCGCAGGCCCACACACCAAACTCCGACCCAAGGTTTCGGCTTCGCCACACCAACGCGTCAACCCGAGCCACCAGCGCCTCCCGAGGAACCTCTCTGAAATACGTCCTCAATACCCAGATTGGAAACCCAGAAGCCGCCGCACAAAGCAGCCAAGCGCCACCGCCGAGATTTTGTCACTTCCAACTCGCACCATGAAACACCGTCGGTTGACCAAAAGGGGGGGGGGGGGGGTGGGATCTCTCACGGCGCCTGAATCACCGAAGAGACCACCAAACAAGCTCAGATCTAAGGAGATCGTCTTTTGAGTCGCCACGCGTGACTTCACGCGCCTGACCCCACGTTAAATTACTAACGCTTTTCATATAAATCAATTTTTAGTGTTTAAATGTTTTCTTTTAAAAATTTGTTAGTCATTAAATCCACGTTAACGATACTTCCATCAATTCAAGCAAAATGTTCATCTCTAACATTTCTTCTAAAGTGAGTATTGATAAAGATAAAGCCTTGTTACCTCCTATTCCAATATAATTAGAGTGAGAGGGACATAGCTTTTGACATGTTCTATCTTTTTTTTTTTCCACTACCCACTATTACATCACTATTATCCCCCGCCATTGGCTCGTTATGAATGATTTGGGAAAAGATAATGCCTTTCGCTCGAGTTCCTTTTGCTAGACTATCCGCTCGGGTATTCAAACTTCTAGGAATGTGAGAGAGAATGAAGGTCCCGAAGCTTTCTCGGAGGTTTTGGAAGACTTCCAGCTCTGATAAGAAGGATGGCCAGTCCGATGGCGATTCTGTCAAACTTACCAAGTCCAAACAATCAGACTGAAAATGCACATAAAAGATCCCTCTATCTATCAGACTCGACATAGCCCATAGGAGACTATCCAACTCGGCGTGGAGAGCCGAGAGACTTCGACGGCAGCCTTGAAGTCCAAAAACCTCACCACTCCTTTCCTCCTTTAGACTCCATCCAAGTCCACTAACCAGACTATTACCTATCCAGGATGCATCCACCTGACAAATTGGAAACCTCTGGTCATCTGGAAGAGAGGTCGGGAGCGAAGGAGTGGTGGTAGGCGACATTGCAGCCTCTTCAACGTCTTTTGGCTCGTTCGCAGTCTTCCAGCTTTCCGCTTCAATCTTGGCGTGGATCAAGGTGTTTACGGGGGAAATTTCTTTCCCGTTGAAGATCTTGTCATTCCTCGTTTTCCAAATATACCACAGGATCCAAGGATAAAAATCCTTTTTGTGGATCTGTCATGCCTATCTCTTTTGTATTCCAAAAGAGAAAACTCATATTTTGATAAATAGAAGTGCTCGGGAAGAGACCCGGAAGGGACGGAAAGTCCGATAAGCCCAGACTTGTAAGGCCGAGGGACATAAAAACAGGAGGTGGTTAATAGATTCTTCAGGGTTCCCATAGCGGAGGCACTGTTTCTCCGATCCCATATGCCTGTGGGTCAAATTTTGACAAGTAGCAATACATCCTGATAAAGTTTGCCACATCAGATGCTTCATCTTTCCAGGCGCCCGAATCTTCCAAACGTAGCTAAGAAGGGCTGTGATACTCGGTTCTGCGACAATATTCAAATTTTGAGCCAACTTCATTCTCCTAATTAACTCATAACCTTATTTAACCGAGTATATCCCCGATTTAGTATGGTCCCACGCATATCCATCAAGGGTACGGTTACGGCTGGGTCTCAGGCCAAGGATAAGGGAGACATCCTCAGGTTGGAACGGAAGTCGAAGGAGAGGCTCATCCCATTGCTTTGTATCTTGATGGATAAGATGTTAACTAACATTCCTGGTTCCTGCAAGCCGATCTGAGGGGCAGCTCTTGGGGCTCGAGTTCTTTCGTCTGGGATCCACGGCTCACTCCAGGCTATTGTGTTAAGTCCCGACCCAATTGTCTTCCTGAGTCCCATTTGGAGATACGGTTTGGCCGCCATCATACTCCTCCATCCATAAGATGGTGAGTAGATTTTTCGATCCTCTAGTGGATCCGATTGTCGGTAATATCGTCCTCTTAGCACTCATTTCAGAAGTGAAGACGGGTAATGGATGAGTCTCCATAGCTGCTTAGCGAGCAGTGCTAGGTTAAAATCATTTAGATCCCTAAATCCCAATTCTCCCATATCCTGGGGAATACAAATCTTATCCCAAGCAATCCAATGGATTCCACTGCTATTTTGTTTCGAGCTCCACCAAAAGTTAGCTATGGCACTACTCAGTTTGTCTGTCACCCCTTTCGGTAAAAGGAAGCACGACATGACATAAGTAGGGACAGCTTGAGCTACCGATTTTATCTGAACTTCCTTCCCACCCTTAGATAAAAGCCTCGCGGACCAATTATTGACCCGATTACTGAGACGGTCTTGGACGAAGGAGAACACTTTCTTCTTTGATCCGCATATTTGTTCTGGGAGTCCCAGATACATACCCATTCCTCCTTCCGTAGTTATGCCGATAGCATTTTTTATACTCCGTTTAAAGTTTTGATTTACTCTATTCCCAAACATGATGGATGACTTGCCCAGATTAAGTTGTTGTCCTGACGCCTTTCCATATGTATCAATAATCTTAAATATTTCCTTTCCTTGATGGCAATCTGCTTTACAGAAAAATAGACTATCATCAGCGAAGAGCAGATGGGAGACGGGGGGCTTGCTTGAGCTATTTTAAGCCCAGATATGCGATCTTCTTCCTCAACACCCTTGAGAAGAGAGATGAGACCTTCAGTACACATGATGAAGAGGAAAGGGGAAAGAGGGTCTCCTTGTCTCAAACCTCTGGACGGCTTAATGTTCCCTTTAGGTTCTCCGTTAATCAAGACCTGATAAGAGACCGAAGAAATGCAGGCCATCAGAAGGCTGACCCATCTCGATGAGTATCCTAATTTGGTAAGAAGAGCTTCTATGAATCTTCATTCCACTCGATCGTATGCTTTACTCATGTCTGTTTTGATTGCCATAAAGTTCTCTCTGCATTTTGTATTGGTACGAAGGGCATGAAAGTTTTCTTGTGCTAAAAGGATATTGTCAGTGATGAGTCTCCTAGCCATGAAGGCCGACTGTCTCCGAAATAAGGTTTGGCAAAGTCTTTTTGAGGCGTTTACACAGAAGCTTGGAGGGATCTTATAACTCACATTACATAAGCTAATAGGGCGGAATTCCGTCATCGATCTGGGTTTGATTGTTTTAGGGATAAGACAAATATTTGTCTGATTAAATTTGGGATCAAGAGCTCCCGATCTGAAGAAGTCTTTTACCATCTTTACTATGTCTTGGCGGAGGAAGGGCCAGAATTGTTGATAGAATTAACTTGTCATGCCATCAGGTCCTGGGGCTTTATCAGGATTAATATCAAAGAAGGCGTCTTTTATCTCTTTTTCTGACGGATCCTTCAGCAGGAGTCGATTCTCACTCTCTGAGACTTTCTCGGTGATAAACCGGAGAGAATTATCTATGTCAATGGGTAATGACGAGGAAAAAAGCTCCTGAAAATACTGCGAGGCCACCCGTGCGATTCCTCTTGCATTTTCTACCAGATGTCAGTTGCTGTCTTTTAAGGCTACAATACGGTTTCGGGCACGCCTCTGTTTTGTGAGTGCATGGAAGAATTATATATTTTTATCGCCTTCTTTCTGCCATTTTTCCCTGCTCTTTTGTTGCCAGAACATCTCCTCTTCCCTAAGGGCAGCACAGAGCTTTCTCCTAATTTCTTCAATTTCTTCAACGGTTGTATTCTCATCATCTTGAGCTGAATCTTGGTTATTTTTTAGTTCTTCTATCAGTCTTTCCGAATTAGACGGATTGGATTTCTTCCAAATGGAGATGTTTTTCCGGCATTGGGTCACCTTTTGATGAAAATCTCGACGGGATATTTCATCAAATGGGCCCCATCCAGAAACTACTGTCTCTTTGAATCCTGGTTTCCCGATCCATCTTTTGTCAAATCGGAAGGATTTCTTCTTCTTTAAGTTATCAATTTTGATCATGGCTAGAACTGGTCGATGATCTGAACCCCATAATTTCATATACTCCACAGAAGAGTGGGGGAATATAGACATCCATTCTTCATTTCCAAGAGCTCTGTCAAGGCGGCACTTAACTTTGCCTGAGCGTCTTCTTCCCACCCAGGAAAAGGAGTTTCCTTTGTAAGGGAAATCAAGCATTCCGCAATCATTTAGCATATTCCGGAATGGAATGAAGGAGCTCTCAGGTCTTCTCCTACCCCCCCCCCCTTTTTTCATGGTTCCCTGTAATTTCATTGAAATCCCCAATCATAAACCATGCTTCTTTCCTGGATAGGCTCATCCGGGTAAGACGTTCCCAAACTAGTTCTCGATTTTGTACAATCGGATCTCCGTAGATAAATGTCATAAAAAATTTGTGTCCATCCAGAAAAGTTTCAATATCAATCAAATGCTCATCCGAATAAGATATAGAAACCGAAGGTTCATCTATATTGAAAGTTGCGTAAAATCAAAAATAATTTATTAAGTATGTAGTTGTAATATTCAGAGTCGATTCAAACAGTTATGAGTCAGTGATATTTGGGATTGTATAGTAAAGTATAGAAAAATCATCCATAATGAGTCATAGATAGTAAATGATATGCAATAATGCAAAGTATAATATAGTTTAACGGATAACTAAAGTTTGAGCTTAAAATTTGACTGCAATCAACTTGAGCTGATTCCACATGGTAGTGAGTAGTGACTCCATGAATAAAGTTGCAATTTTTATCAATCAAATAGTATTAATTTATATACATTTCAGAGCAGACAAGTTTTGTGGAGTTGTCGACCACATGTTTTTTTAATATGAACCCAAGGTTCCACATTGGTAGGCTGAATGAATATTTTCATTCCCTATACGTTGACTTTTTTTAGTTTCTTCCATCGATTTCAGATTTTTTGATCCATCTCAGGTTCTTCCAAATTTCTCATAGATTTTTGTTTTTGATGTGAAAGGATCTCCCTTTATCTAATCTTGTTAGAATCCAAGACATTCTCATTCCACTGAACTTGTGTCTTCTTGAATTGGTATTTAAGTTTCAGCAAAATGGCTACTGGTGAAGCACCGTGTAACAATAAGAGGAGTTATCAGGTCGTCATTGCAGCAACTAAAGACATGGGTCTTGGTATGAATATGAAACTTCCTTGGGATTTACCAAGAGAATATCAGTTTTTCCAGGATGTAACAACTAAAACATCCGATCCCAAGAAGAGGAATGCGACTATAATGGGAAGAAAATCATGGGAAGCTACTCCTCTTGATATTCGTCCCCTTCCTGGTCGGCTCAACGTTGTTCTCACAAAATCTAGCTGTCTCAGCATTGCTACTAATGAGAATGTATTGGTGTGTAATAGCATGGAATCGGCTCTTGAACTTTTAGCCACTGAGCCCTATTCCTCGTCTATCGAGAAGGTCTTTTTCATAGGTGGCGGCGAGTTGTTAAGGTTTGCATAACTCTCTCTCAAAGTGCAGTTTCTGTTTCCACATGATAACATCTTGAGACTTTTAAAATTTTTTGAAGGCCTTAAGTTAGATCAAGATTGTGGTCTCTGTCTCTATGTACAGGCACTATATGAATGCACCAAACTGTGATGCAATCCACCTAACTGAAATCGATATAAGCGTGCCATGCGATGCATTTGCACCGAGGGTGGATACTTGTCTATACCGTCCATGGTACTCATCATTTCCAGTTGTGGAAAATGGGATTCGGTATAGCTTCAACACTTATGTCCGAAGTAAAAACCCCATTGCTGTGTCGGATTTCATTTGTTGCGAAACAGAGGATTACTCGTTCTTGCCTAAGATGGTTTTCGAGAGGCATGAGGAGTTTGGTTACTTGAATCTTGTTCAAAACATTATATCTAATGGGGACATGAATGACAATAACACTCTTTCTAAATTTGGCTGTCAGGTGAGTTGTGCTCTCTCCATCTTTGTCAATGTTTTCTTTCTTCGTTTAACATGGTTTTGTAGGTTGACCTGTGAAGTTCTTGTTTCCTGTTTTGGTTCATTATACAGATGCGTTTCAATCTGCGCAAGACTTTCCCGCTTCTCACAACCAAGGCATGACTTCTTTACCATATATCCCATACTAATATTTCTGATTTCAGTTCAAGAACACAACCTCAGTTTTTATCTGACGCTAGAGATTGATTTTGTTGGATTCATTGTCTTGCAGAAAGTTTTCTGGCTAGGCGTTGTAGAGGAAACCCTACAACTCATCAGTGGATCAACCAATCCCAAGGTAACACAAAAAGAAACCAAATCCTTGTGCTATGTTTTCTTTTGTTGATTACGAACCTAGAATGAAGCATATTATATCTCTCATAACGTTTTTCAGGAAGAGGGTACTAATCATATATGGAACAGCAACGAGGCTAACGAATATCTAGACAGGCAAGCTCATAATTTAGGATTTAGAAAGTGGGTTTACTGAAACTAGACTAACACACCAATATTTTTGTTTCAGTCTCAGAGTGAATGCCACAGAAGAAGATGGAGACCACCCGCTCTTGTTTGGACTCCACTGGAGAGACACTGATGCTAGGTTGGTGTTATCTCGTCTTTGGATTCATTGTTCGTATGTTTTGGCTTCTTTGACTCGTTTGCTTTACATTTTCCAGGAAAGAATTCAGTAAGCTCTCTGATTTTATAAACAAGATAAAGAACAATCCTCATAATCGAGGGATCATGCTTCCTTGTCAGACGTTCGCACAGGTTAGCACTCCTGTAACAACTTGTCGCATTTCCATTGTCAAGTATTCTAATGTATTAAGAGAAAAATGATGATCATCTTACAGAGAGAAATGTTGTGAACTGAAAATATTTTTGGTTTTTATTTGTTTTTTTTTTCTATCTTTATGATCAGTTCTATGTGGCCAATGGTGAACTTTCCTGTCAAATCTACCAGAGCTCAACTGAAGCAAGTCTCGTGATTCCTTTCTGTATCGCTGCATACTCTCTCTTGACATGCATCATCGCTCATGTTTGCGGTATGTATACATCAAAACCAGTTTAACATGTACATTAAATATTGAGTCCTAATGATCTGGAGTAATGACTTGAAAGCATTTTGTGCGGTTTCTTGTGCTGGCAGATCTTGTTGCTGGTGATTTCATCCATGTGATTGGAGATGCTCATGTTAATACAGCTCACATCAAGGCTATACAAAAACAGCTTCAAATTTCCCCAAAACCTTTCCCGGTCAGTACTATAACTTTGCTCATACATTCCCTATTTAATTTGGTCTCTGCCTCCTCATTTCAGGAAACAATTAATTTGACTTCTTCTATCTCTCTCTCTCTACCATCTTAACGGTTAAAAAACAGATTTTGAAAATGAATCCCGAGAAAACGAATATCGATCACTTTCAAGCCTCTGATTTGGAACTTCTGGAGATATGACCTGCTTCACAAATTTACAAAGATGGCTCTTTTAATACTCTCACTGTTGATTGTTTCTTGCTCATCATGTTTTTGGAGATATGACTAATTATTCTAACAGAAAACTTACAGAAATATATTTCATACTTTATAAGATGGAACAAAATTATACAAAGAGAAATTAAAAAAAGAAAGATAAAAGCTAAACAACAATTTATGCTCGGGCTTTGAAATATTTTTCACCCGTATATTTACAAACACACACAGATTATATATGTGAATGATATTGCATAAACTAAAGTCTTTCTTCTTCTTTTTTCCCTTGCTTTTCTTTTAATTACTACTTTACATCTAAATAATACAAAACTCTTCATCCTTTTGGTTCCTCCTCTGTCTCGCAATAAAAGACTCGATCTTGTACCGGAGTTCATCATCAGAATCAAATCCATCGGCAGGTCTCTCCGTCTCCGATCTCATCAGTCTTCCACAAGAACTCTTCTTCGAGCCCTCGAGATTCTCTGACCGACTCCTTTCGTAACTCTTCCTTGGGGTTTCCTGTTTTTGGGAAACAATTTGTTTGGGTCTCTTCACAGTTATGTCCTTCTTCTCCGTCTCCTCGCCACTGCTCTGTTTCCCACTGTTCTCAGTCTTTTTAGGTTTCTCTCTCTTATCTTCACTGCTCTGTTTTGCCCTGTTCTCCAACATGCTCTGTTTTGCTCTGCTCTGTCTCTTATCTTTGCTGCTCTGTTTTGCCTTGCTCTCTGTTTCACTCTGTTTTTCTCTGCGTATCATATCTTTCTGTAGAATCTCTTCTCTTCGTGAGCTCTCACGAACAAACTCGTCGTAAAAATCATTGCTGTTTCTCCGTGCATCTGGTTCTTGATTCACAAAGAGACCGCACTTGGCGATGATAGTGATGACTATCGCATTCCCCAAGATGAAAGCAAGGTGACGGTTAATGAGAAAACGCGTGAGACTAGAGTCTTCCAACATGATGACTAGTTGGTAGCAGAGCTTTGCTACTGTAACCATAACTACAGTTATCTCGATCACCCGATAAAACAGATCTAAGAGTATTTGAACCCGCGACTTCTTCACAACAGTCTTCATCTTTTTTGGTTTAGCCTTTTGGTTACTAAGCGAATCCATCTGCGTTGAATTTAAAAACAGTTGAATCAGAAGATCTAACGAAGATATTGTAGAGCAAAAGCGAAACTGATATTCAGTTTACGGTGGAAAGAAAAAACAGAGGAGAGTAAGAGTCTGTTTTTCTCTTTGTTTTTTATTTTATTTTTAGCTTGAGAGAATGTAGCTTTGCAATGTTGAGTATTTATAAGGGATAAAGGGTCATTGGGTGCATTTGCTTTCTTTTTCCGTTCACTAATCTTCTTTTTCAAGTGAATTAGTGTTCTTTTGTTCTTATATGCAAAAAGAGTTAATACATCTTTCACCCTTAGATCTCTTAGAACTAAAAGCCGAGCAAAATCTTAGTCTTGTGTCCTAAACTTTTCATTTTATACCATCGCTTGATTGTCCTTTTAAAATTTATATGTTAAGAATATGAGTTTAGAGATTTACTATTCATAAATTTGACAAATAATCTTTAACATATAATATCTAGATGTTTCAAACTAGTCTTGTTAGAAACATCTATTTTTGTTTTGGTTTTTGCGAACAAGAAACATCTAGTTTGAAACAAGAATTAGCTCTTTCATTAGTTAAAACTTAAAAGTAAGTTATTTGCAAGAACAAATATTGTTTCAGATGATGAGAAGCTAATGATTTTGAGCCTAACAAAGAAATACGAGGATAAGAGTATAACTATGTCATTTTAATAGGTTATTCAAAATTATGGCTCACTGTCTTAGAGTATATCAATCAAACAAGTAACATATTAACTTTGTTATAAAGTACTATTTGATCATGGAAAGTGTGCAGTTCCTAAAGGGTTTGTTAGTTAAAAAGCCATGTCTCACTTGTCAAACAATGTTATACAATCAGTGTTTATAATTATATTATTGAAATTTATGTGTTATGTGATTAACATTTTTGCAGTGAAGGTAAAAAAAAAAATCATTTAACAAGTGAGACATGGCTTTTAACTAACAAAAGTAAATCATATTATAGGTAACAATATGAAATAAATTTGGAAACAAGAAAAAGAATACTACTTGTTAGGAAATGATTGCTAGTAATAGTACCAACTTTGTCAAATTTATTAAATCATTATTATGAGTAGAAAATTTCTGTGTCGACAAATTAATTCTTTATCAAAATTTCTGAATCAACAATCTACATAGATAGATAGATGCAGATTCGATGAATGCTTGTGTATGTCTGTAGGATATTTCTCATTAAATATTAATTAATGATCACATTGTTGGTTATCAGATGGGTAAATAGCTCCATGCACTAATCTTCATTCATTAGTAATTTTTTACTCGACTCATAGAAGCCCACCATTATTTTTATATGTCCAACTAGCTTCTTTAATTTAGTCTAAATAATATCTTAAAATAATGCGTATCACCATATTAATAAACTTTGCTGTAAAAGTTTCTAGGACTTGAATGATTTGTGCCAAATTAAAATACTCCAGGATATAAAATAATACTATCATAATCGCATTGGAAGTTACTGAAATTTATTAAACCTATTTTAATTGTTTGTTCTAGAAACTCATTTTTGGGGGTTCGTAACACAAATCAACCGCATAAATCAAAATTTTCCAAATAGAAATATTAGTAATTAGCGTAAGAACACTTATCTTTTTACATTTTATGATATTTGTTTTTGTCAACTAAAATTTATAAATGACATAATGGAACTATGAAACTTTTTTCTCAACAAAAAAAAAAAACTATACAACTCAACAAAAGTTTGGTTGATGTGATGGTAGATTCTTATTTATAAACAAACTCAAATTTAATGTAGCATTAACTTATGGAATGTCTGCAAAACAATATAATATACTTTAAACAGTAGAAAACTTTAATTTAATGGTATGTAGTTTCTTAAAATTTTCATGTTTTGAAAATGTAATTTTACTGAATACATACCATTCACAACAAAATGTACAAATGATAAAACAAAAAAAATTAATAAATAATTCTTAAACCCATCACCGTTTTATTTTATAACTAGATCAAATAAAACCTTATTCATATATTTAATACTAAATATTTATTCAAATTTATTTACAACTCCTATTAATTTATTTAGCTTATGAGTTTTCTCATTTAAATGTTTTTAATTTATTTTATAATTCAGCTATTTTACTGTTTCGCTATTCAACTTACATATCAATCAAATTATAGTTTAGTTTGAATGCGATAACTTGTACATTTTATAACAATCATAACTTCATTTGTTTGGTTACTAGTTTTTTATCATTGTAAATTACATATACTGGCAACATGTCTAAGAAATCAAATATTGATTTTGATCTAAAAATTTATAGTTATTACAAGATACCGATAAATAAAAATCATTGTTTTGATTTTTGGGAATTTTCTTACAAAATCCATCATGCAGTTATAGTATTATTAATATCCAAAAGTTTATACTATTTCGTTCTTTGACTGTGATCTATCATTGTCCATCACTATTTCTCTTGATATTATATACACAGTAATGATGTAATCTCACAATGAAATGACAAATAAAAGCAAACAAACAAACATGTATATTTTAAGTCATATATTACATATATAGAAGAAACCATGATTTCTTTCTAGGAAAGAAAAAATAAATAAAAGAAACCATTACTTCTTCACTAAGAGATTGAGAGATGGCTTATACTTCTACAACTTTGTTATGTTTCTTTATGTCTTGTCTCTTTCTAAACAAAAGCATGTATATGTGGTTTCATTTCAATCTAATTTTGTTATTGGATACACTTTGAAAAAATAAAAAGCCCCACTTCTTTTTTCTTTAAAGGCATCTTCATAATTGCTCATGAGTGTTACGTGTCATTCGACTGCAATCAACATTATGCAAATTATGAAGTATATTTGTCTACATGTCCTTAGATATTGATCACACTTATCCATAAGTAGTTGACGTCTTACATTGTCAACTGGTTTAGATCCTAATTAATTTTTATAGTTCAAAACTAATTTTTAACCTGAAATTTACACCTAAACTTGACTACACCAACTAACAACCAATATGGTCGGTTAAATTGGAGAAGTGTCTATGGTTTGTTCAAGTATGTCTATGGTTTGTTCAAGTTAGACCGTATTATAAGTATCGCTACGCTCTTGCCACTAAATATCTGACGGTCATGTATTTGAGACTTTCACTATGCTCTGAAAAATTATGTGATCCTTAATTTACATAGATTAGAGTGAAACTGAATAGTTGAATATAGCACTCTTTTTTTGTTAGTCAACTATTGAATACAGCACTATTTACAGCTTGTTGGTCGTGGCGCCTCATCAATATTGTCCTTATGTATGATAAACAGTTTATCTAACTCATTCTTGTGACATGGAACTTTGGACAAAGACACATGAGCTTGTGTCCCTTGGTCAGATATTTCCTTCCCAATGTATATATGAAGGAGGTTTAGGTTTTGAGATTGTTACTAGTTAGACAGAAACGTGCGGACTTAGCTAATATGAATGTTATATTTTCGTGCGGGTTCAATTTGGATGGCCTAGATGTGAAACGGATACTCTCTAGGTCTGGTCGCTAACTGAAAATAACCAAAATCATTCTTGGTTGTTTTATAAGATTCTTAAGATTAAATAGATAAACAGAGAAGATACTTTTTTTAATGGTGGGTCCAATTCATTTAGTCTTCGGTTTAATCTCTCTCTCGACCAACCGTAACGATTTTACCTCTAATGTCCAGTATGGGATTCTAACATGTTTTGACACAGTCAAATTATCAAATTTTACGAGCTTTCCAATTTATTCATTTTAGACATTTATTTCTCATTCAAATCAACTCCATAACATTGAAATGTAAATACACTACTTTAAAGTAGTCACAGTCAAAAATTTCACATTTCTCATTCTACTAAACAATTTGATTGGAAACGTGATTGGAAAGTTGGCCGGAGCTATTTCTAAAATGAATTCCAAAAATTTATAGATATCGTTTTTGAGTTATTTGATTTATGAATTTAATATAATTATCCTTTCAGATTGAAAAATGATTGGACCTTTTGAGGCACACTGAAACTACTTTCTTTGTATGTGGGATAAATTTCTTTTAACTATAATTTGAACTTATTTTAGAGATTGTGGAGCTTTACTGCAAACACCTATACATGTATAGTTGGTGGAATTCTTGTTATATGTTAATTTAACAAATTTGTGTCCCTAGCCAAAAACAAATTTCTATACAAGTTCATTAAAATATTAATCTGACCCCTTTTCTGGTGGCAAATCTTTAAAGACCCAGAATCTAAATTTCATAATTTACATTTGGCTTTAAATATAGCGTGATATATACTTAATTCTCAAGTTGATCATATAGATTACTTTAAATTTTGTATTTATATTTTGCTTGCATTTTATAACATATATTTCCTCCCTCGCATGTGAGTGCATGCTGATTCAGTGTCACTAAGCTGGACTAATTGTTTGTTTGTTTTTTTTTTTACTTAGCTCAAAATTTGTTTTAATCTGTGTAATATATATACCGTAAACGACAAACAGTTTCAAACTTTCAATAAGAGAGAAGACAATCTGTGACACGTTACATTTCTTCGTTTATGCAGAAAGCAATCGTCCATGTAAGTGAAAATTTATTTCCGCTTTTTTTTAATACAAAAAACATTCTTCGTTTAATTCTAAAAAGGAAAATTATGACATTCTTCAAAAAAATCCGACCTGCCGGAATCGAACCAGCGACCTAAAGATTACAGCAACCACTACAGTCTTCCGCTCTACCAACTGAGCTAAGGTCGGTTTGCAAATTATTGCGGTAAACAAATTCATAACATTTACTATATTTGGGCCTATATTATTCTTAACTTATCTATTTAACTAAAGACTTGAAGCCCACCATGGGCCTAGTGAAGTTGCATCTTTTTTTTTTCAGTTAATAAAGTTTCATATCATAAATTATTAAGAATTTTTTTTAATAAAATACAAGGATACACATAAACACGTACGCAATACAAAATGCATTCAATAAGTCATTTTTACTAGGACAAGGTCGGTGAAACTTATAAATGAATTAGTTAAACAAAGTATAAATCATGAAATTTCGTAATAAAAGTGTTTCGTTTTGAACTTAAGAGAGTAATAATTTGTTATTTTTAGCGGAAGGTCTTCTCAAGAAGATTGATCCAAAGCATTCGAAACACATGCTATGCAAGACATTTTACCTTTGTGATTCCGAAACTCTATTTCTTGTTAATATATAAGGCTATATATATTGTTAATTCTCCGAGATTAAAAACACGAATGTCCGATGTTATTTAGACATCCCATTTCTTTATTTTCATGCAATTGGTTCCTTTCAATAAAAGTAAAGTCAGAAATTATTACAAAACAAATTGTTTTTTTTAATGTTTTAAATGACTCAAGAGAATAATGAATTCATTGATAAAAGAGAGATAATATTCAAAACGCAGTATAATATAAATCAGGGTTGACATAAATTCACATTGAATCACAACCACCAACTACTGTTTATCCTCTATATAATCAAGCTCTCTTGGAGTTCTCTCAATTGCCAAAAAAAAGATATATATAAAACAAAGAGTAATTGAGGAATCATGGCCAAGTCTTCTCCTGCATTTCTTGTCTTCCTCTGCCTTTCCATGCTTATCTTGTCAACCCCTGGTGAGTTCTCTAATGACTAATAATAATAATGCAATATCATTACATATTCAGGATATACAAAAGGAATAAACTAACTATATATATTCTGAAAATTGCAGAAGTGGATGCTGTTGCTAAGGTATGCATAAAAGTGTCAACCAAAACGTTGTCAACGAATTGTCAGAAAAACGACTGCGACTGCCACTTTCACAGCCACGCATGCAGCGAATGGGAAGATGGGAGCCATGGAAATTGCAAAACATACCAAATCCAGATCGTTTGCACCTGTTACGTGAAGTGTGCTGATACTTCATCTACGTCAAACGCATATTAATAATGCAACGATAAATCAATTAAGAGAATAAAAAAATATAATCAAGGAGTCGTAGCATGCGGTTTTTATGTATAAGTTCATATATCTGTTTAATTGTATTGAGATCATCTTAAATATGTGCCCCTTGTGTTGCTGATTATGAGGTTATGATTATATATACAATATATGTGATCGTACGTTATTATCCTGTGAAGTATAAAATACTACAATGTGAGTTTTGAATATATATATATATGATTTTGCGCAAATCAATTACTATTATCTCTGTAATCTTTTGAAATAGAAAATAAACTTCAAAGTTATATAACAAAAGTAGACAAGCTTTAACTGATCCATATGAATATAAAAAAACAACGTAAATATATACGTAGCATGTGCGGTGAGATAGCAGTTAGACTATTGGAGTGGCCATAGTGAGAATTCTCCAAAACGAATATTAAATGTGATAATGGAAAAAGCAATGGATGGACCGAGGTCCTAAACCTTTTTGTTAAAAAAAAAAAACAAAAAAACGAAAAAAAAAAAGAAGCAGACAACTAAAATTAGCTTAATTTACTAAAAGAAAAAATGATTTTTATTTTAATTTTCGCTATATATATTTATTTAATTTGGGGGATTTGGACCGAATTCCAAACTAATTCTGAAAGTCTGTTAGAGGCCGAGTGTAGTTTTACCAATAAAGAATGAAATCATATCGTTGAACTAAAATGAATACATTGATTTTATTTTTGCTATGTTTACTTTCGTGTATGTTATTACTAACTGGTGAATGTAGTTAGAATCATGAAGGGATCTAGGAAGATGTTAGAGTCGAGAAAGTCATCTTAGCTAGTGCCAAAGAATTTATGGGGGAAAAGATCCACTTGGTGAGAGGAGAAAGGTACCACCCACGAGGAGAGAAATAAATTAAAAGCCATACAGTACTCACTAATGAACTGAAGTACAATATTGAAAATTGGTGAAACTGAGAAGAAAGACCAGTCATGTTTACCTCAATTTTATGGCTTAAACCATAGAGAAAGAGAGACAATTGCATATGTGAACACATACTTGTACAAGGAAAACAATGTATACGTTAATAAATATCTAAGGATGTTAAAGTTCGTCAAACTAGCGGATACCAATATAAATCATGCAAATTAATTGTTTTGCAACTAAGAAATTAAAACAAGTTCACAAGATTATTGTATAGTCACTTACTTTACTCTAGTTGAGCACTATCATCATAAACGTATGTTGATTACATTAAGAATCCAATCCTCTAATCTGGTTATTTCAAAATATTTATATTCAATCAAAATCGAACAGTTTTTGGGAATCCAACCCCCTTTCATTTTAGCCAATGAGAATCTGCCATATAATAAAATCAATTAAGATAATTTATTAAAATAACATATTTTAAATATTTTTTTAAATAGAAAAAAACTAAATTCTAATTTAGAAATAGTGAACTCAAACATAATAATATTAAAGTTTATGTAGAATTATTTTTAATAAAAATATATTTTTACATAATTATTTGTTTTATTATCAAAATTTTAAATTAAAAAAAAAACTAAACCTTAAATAGGAAATAGTGAATCCAAACATAATATTCAATTTTATTTAAATTTTTTTATAATAAATATAGATATTTTACATAATTATTTGTTTTATTTTTGGAATTTCAAATCCTAATCTCTAACTCTAATCTTTAAATCCTAAATTCTAATCTTTATACTCTAAATCATAATCTATAAACCTTTAAAAATTAAAATAAAAACTAAACCCTAAATTATAATTTTTATATACATTATTTCTTTATATATATATATATATTTTTAATAAATTATTTATTTGAGTATTTAGTCTTTTAATTTTATTTTTGTATTTTTATTTTAAAATAATATTATATGGCAGATTCTCATTGGTTAAAATGAAAAAGGGTGAATGAAAGAATTTATCCCTAGAAATGAACCTAAGAATATTCCATCAACTCAAAATAGGGGGAATGGCTGGAAAACCATCGGAGATTGAAAAATAATCTCGTATGCCACCAACAAAAATTAAATTTATTATTCATTTTCTTTTTAGTGTAAAAAGCGTGGAAAATATTGTATCATCTCCCAAACTTAAAAGATTTACAATAAAACCATGGGAATACCCACCCGACCCGAAGAAAAGAGATTTTACTCGGGTTGAGTCCTGATTTATACTGAAGTAAAAACCTAAAAACTCAATTCCAAAAATTCTCCAAATTCTCGACCATTTCTTCACCGAAATCTTAGTTATTCTCGCCGGAGTCGAAGTTTTCGGCGGAAGCACATAGTTTAGTCTGGGTAGGGGCCGTAATGGCGAAGGTAAAGAAAGGGAAAGGTGGAGTCGTTTACGAATCGACGGAAACCTCCACTAGAGAAAACCTCTCCGAAGCCACCGTTGTAGAAAAGGAAGGAACAACTCCGCCTCCGGAAGTGATGGTGACCGACGCAGCTGGTATTGTTATAGGCGCCGAGGCAGGTCGAGATGGAGATGTCTCGCATGCATTAGAGGAAGATGGAGAGTCAAATTCATCCGAGGGGGTCGGTTCCGAGGAAGCAGATGGGGAAGGAGATGAAGAAGTAGAGATAAAAGAAGACGAAGAAACGGAAGAAGCCGATGACGAATAAGATGAAGAAGATGAAAAACAAGAAGAGGAAGCAGATGATGAAGAAGAGGAAGCCAACGATGAAGGAGATGAGGAGGAGGCAGAGGAAAAAGACGAGGAGGAAGCAGATGATGAAGAAGAGGAGGAAGCAGTGGAAGATGAAGAGGAGGAAGCAGTGGAAGATGAAGAGGAGGACGCAGATGATGAAGGACAGGAAGCGACAGATGGGATTGCGGCAGAAGAGGTAGGCGAGGACATGAACGATGGGGAAGAAGATGATGACCAGGTATGTACTGTATTCATGTACTCTATGGTGTGAAATGACATCCGATCTTGTTTGATTGATCCTGTAGTTTAGTATTTAGGACAACCGGAACAACAGGAACAATAAAACTGTAAATTTGGTCAATTAATATTTAGGACAACAGGGACAACTAATGGTAAATGTATTCGAATTGTAGGATCCCATTTCCTCTAGCTTGCCGATGCAACCTGAGAAGCTTTTCTTTAACCCAACCGAGTTTGGCAAAGCTTGCAAGATAGTTACTAGGTATTCTGTAACGAGTGTTGTTCAGAAGATAGAGGCAATGCCAGAAGAGGCAAAATGGTTTAAAACACACCCTCAATTCAGGCACATATTTCATATGCCCAAAGAGCGGAATCACATGAGTCAAGGTCTGTGGATGCTCCTCCTCTATACTGCTAAAACCGGGAAGGAAAGTGAGTGCTGGTTTGTTGTAAATGGTGTTCCCATCCGTTACTCATTGAGAGAACATGCACTCCTCTGTGGGTTAGACTGCCATGAGTACCCTAGAAAGTATAAGGATTTGGGATGTTGGAGCTTTGTTGAGAGACAGTTTGGAAGGAAGAAGGCAATAACAGTTAAGGATGTGGAAGAGAGGCTTGAGGCAATGGAGACCTCAGAAGATAAGAAAAAGATGGCAGTACTCTTTTTCTTAAGCAAAGTTGTCAAAGCTGGAACTAAGGCGAATGGTAACATAGAGTCCTTTTTGCTTCGAGTTGTGAATGATCTAAGGCTGTGTAAGAAATTTCCTTGGGGCGATACACGTATGATAATTGCATCAAGGAGATACAGCGTGTGATGAGGAAGCTTAGAGGGAGCGTGAAAGCGAAAGGACAATCATGCAGCTTTGGGGGTTTCATAGTTCCTTTAAAGGCATGTGTTATTAATGAGTTTTCAGGTATTTGGTATTGTGATATTGAGTTTTTGGTACTGTGATTTTCTATGTAGATTATGGCGTTCGAATGTATTCCTGAGCTTCGACGGAGATGCCGAGAAGTTGTGCCTGCAAATGGAGACTGTCCACGCATGTGGAAGGGGAAATTTTCTGAGATATGCATGAGAGGGTTTCCTTTGGAGGACATTAATGAGGCGATAGGCAATAGTAGCGAGGTAAGTGTTAGTAGTATAATTTGATGAGCAATATTATTAGATTGAGCTAGGTTGGAAGTAGTAACTAGGGTTTGATTATTTATGACAGGAAATTATTAGCATTTTGAAACCTGACTCTGAGGAAGAAGCGCTCATAGATCGCATAATGGAATGTGGATACGACGAAGGGATAAGGTTTGTTGATCCATTTGTTGAGTCTTGGACTGAGTACCTCACCGTCAAGAAGAAAAAAATATGTTGGAAACAATTGTATGACTTGGAGATTGGTTGTCGAGGTCAGGATCCGGAACATGAACCGGAGCCAGAAGCGTATAAGGGTACAACAGAAGTGGATTTGGAGAAGAGATTAGAGGATATGGAGGAGAGGCTGAAAGCTGTTGAGAAATAATTGAAAGAGAAGATGGAGTTCACTGGAACAGAAGCGGTGATCCCACCATCAGTAGTAGGAGTCCGTTCACTCACACTAGTTCCTACATCTCCACCAGAGTCAGCAGCCATCTTAGCACTATCAGCTGTAGGAGTTGGTTCACCCACAGGAGTTCGTTCACCGACGCCTCAACGAGAATCAGCAGCAATCTCACCAACACCAGCGGCGTCAGCAGCCATCTCACCAACACCAGCGGTGTCAGCAGCCATCTCACCAACACCAGCCCCGTCGACAGGCCCGCCTTTACCACCACCACAAAGACCGAAGAGGCAAGGTGCACCATCCCAGTGGAAGAAACCTCCATTTACAGAAGCAAGAAGACGGACAAAAGGTCAGAATTCTAAGATTGCCGTGGATGAAGGGAAAAAAGCAGAAGAGACGAACCAGGTAGAAACACGGGCTTCGAAGCAAACTAGAAACAAAGAGAACCAGGTGGTGACAAGGGCCTCGAAAAGACAAAAGGTTTAGTTTAGAACTTGCTTGGTAAAGACAAGTTCCATGGTTGGTACTTTTTTGAAACATCTATTTATCGCTTGGTACTTGTCTGAATGTTTGGAGTTGTTTTTTTTTTGGATTTGGATCTTGTGCCTGAATGGAACTTGTGAAAGTATTGTTTTTGTGACTTTTAGTCTTCTTTGGTTTGTTACATGGTTTGGTTTGTATTTGCATCAACCGTTTTAAAATTATAACTTCGGGGACAACATGGTTCAACTAAGACGAAGTGTTTACTAAATAAGAAAGATGGAACAACTAGGTTCAAATGAAAGATGAAAGAGTCTTACATAGAGGAATATAAGATAACTAAGACAACAAACAAGAAGATAAGAAGATAGGACAACTAGGACAACCAAATAAAACAGGAAAAAGCTTCAAGTGTCCTTGTTCTTCAAGGCCTCCTGTAGAGCCTCAATCTTCGATTCCAGCTGGTTTAGCTTTGAGACAATCACATCAAACACAGACTTTATGTCCTCTTGCGTTTCTTTTAGCAAACCAATCTCCTCTTCTATAGCGACATCCCACCACTTCTTGAAGCCACAACTTGGAACCTGAAAGACAGAAAAGCATCGGTTTTGTGCTTGTAATGGTTTAGCGAAATTATAAAGCAGAGTGACATCTTACTTCCGGGAAGTTTTTCTGTCCACAGCAACCGTAAAAGCAGTCGTAGTACTTCCGGCCTCGGTCTAGCGCAGAGTAGTCAATTAGGTTCGGCCACGGAGCAATACGAGGAGGACCGCAGTAGCAAAATTGAGGAATTCTGACCTGCTTAGGACATTCAACAATGGTTCGGACTCCTTTGACTTCCGGACCCCATCTTGTTGTCATGCCGTGATCCTTCTTCGCAAGCTTCGCAAGTGCCTTCTCCATCTCTGAAATTCACAATTACAATCATAAACCCTGATTTCTAAGGAAATCCCCAAATTTTCAATTATTATCATAAACCCTAATTTGAATCCCGAAAACTGAAATGCCAAATCAAGAATTAAAATCGCATATCGGATTACCTTTGTCTTCCAATCGCGAAGAGCTTGGGCTTCCCATCTTTTCCTTATTTTTTTTTTCTCAGTTCGTCACCAATTTGCTCTGGATTTTCTGCGGTTTTCTCTCTTCTGCTTGTGTTAAGTTAAGTCTCGGAAATGAGAAAATGAGAAAATGGGAAAATGTAGATATAGCTAATATAAAATTTGGTGGGGGATTTAAAATTTGAAAATTTTGAAAAATTTGCTTAGTGTAAGAAACATGTGCGCCGTCGATCTTGGATATGAAACACGTGCGCCGTCAATCGATGATGTAGTTGTCCAAAATTTGTTCTTAGTGTACTAATTTCCGCATAGGTGTACTTTGACGAGTTTTTGGTTTTTGTTGTTGTACCATTGCATACCTTACTATTTTGTAGTTGTCCCCGACATGTTTGAGTATTAGTGGTCATTTACAAGGCGTAGATACTATTTGTTTTTGCATAATCATTTCCAAAGTTTTTATTCATGATGAGAAACTTACATTTACCAAATTCATCCTTAAACTAGATGATATTGTTTGATGAGAAAAAAGAAAATGTATAAGGGAATTTTTTTTAGTTTGATTCGTTTTCTTTTACTTTATTATGAGTTTAGAGTTATAAGAAGACTCCAACTGCTTCAAATTTAATGATATATATTATCAAATATTTAGGATATCAAATTTAATGATATTGCTAGTAGTTGAACCACAAGGACCCAGTTGTACCTTGCAAACACAAATAACAAAAGTTGTCTGTAGTCGACCTTGTTGTCCACATAAAAACACAAAGCAAACACTAACACGGAGCAAATACTAAACCCAAAGAACTCAACAGTTGTCCGTAGTAGATCTGGTTGTCCACATAAAAACACCACATTACAAAACTCCAATACAAATAACAATAGTTGTCCATAGTGGACCTGGTTGTCCAAATAAAAACACAAAGCATTACCAAACTCAAAACCTAAGTTGAAGGACCTTCTGCCTGGGGATGTTGAGAAGACCGGAAACAAGCCTCCAAGTCCAAGTGAGGGTCGGCCTTGTTCTTTGTCCTCCGGCGACGTTCTCCGGGCCCTGGTTTCCGCTTTTCTTGATTTCTACCCACTTTTTTCTTGACATCTGGTGGTAAGACGACCAACTCTTTGATGTTGTCAAGAACACTCCAGTCAGTATGATGAGGAACAGGATAAATTGTTCGATAGTATGCCAATGCCCACGTCTCAATCAAGTAATATTTTGAGCACAAGTCATATACTATGATACTCGCTGATCTATCTTCCGTGCTCATCAGTTTCTTCGCTGCGGCTATTGTATGTTCACACGGGAACTTATCTATATCAAACCGCCTGCAGCAACAGCTTTTTGCTATCAAGTTCACCACGTAAGTTTTCCCGTCCAGTCCATTAACGCTGTATTCAAGCTCGTAGCTGTTTAGTTCCGTCACCACTAAAAGAGACGTGATTGCACATCGACTGTGTATTTCATTCTCCACAACAGGCACCACTCTCTTATTATAAAAAGGACCAGCTGAATCCTTCCTGTATCTGTTAAACCATGCAGAAACTTTAGCTACAATCGCATCGATCATATGCAATAAGGCATACTTCCTCGCAGTCACTAAACAACTATTCATAGACTCTGCCGAGTTACTGGTCTCTATGTTGTACTTATCCCCCAAGAAGCACCACCTAGCCCATTTTTCCAGGGTAACACTATTATCAAGATACTCAGCGGCTTTAGGAAACGTAACTCTGAATTCACCATACTCTCTAATGAACTCAGATTGAGTATAGATATGTGCGCAATCTCGGAATTTCTGTGCAACAAAGACTTTATTGACATTACTAACTCTATCTCTCACATTCTGCGAAATATGCCAAATACAATATCCATGATGAGCACTCGGATACACCTCAGAGACTGCCTTGATGATGCTTTGATGTCTATCACTCATAAAGACTAACTCAGGATCATCTGGAACTACAATTTTTCACTTTTCGAAAAACCACCGCCAGCTACGATTATTCTCGCCATCAATCACACCAAACGCAACCGGGTAATTGTGCCGATTAGGGTCCTGAGCTGTCGCAAACACTAACATACCACCATAGGAACCCGAGAGAAAAGTTGCGTCCACTACTAACACTTTCCTCATTACTCTAAAACCTTCAACGCAAGCACCTAAAGCAATGAATAAGTATTTGAACTTCTTCTCTGCAGTCAATTCCACACTTGTTACCGTTCCAAGATTTACCTTCTCCAACATGTGCAAATAAGGATACAACATACTATAGCTATCTTCTGGACTGCCTCGTACATAATTAAATGCGAGTTTCTTCCCCCTCAGGGCAGTGAAATAGGATACATTCATACCAATACGCCCTTGAACAACATTTATGATACTTTTAGGAACTGGGGTGTCGAGGCGACCTGGATACACATCATGCAGAACCGATGCTACCATTTCTGGTGTACCTTTCAATTTATTGCTGCTTGTACTCTGCGCAGCACGGGAACATCTGTGCATCTTTCTGTACACCATGACACTAAAACGGCTTGAATCCTTAACGCTCACAGCTCGAAGATACCACTTACAACCTTGTTTCTTCTGACGGCATTCTAGCATAAGTCTGTTTTTATCCGACTTGATAGTATTGAACGAAAAACAGTATTTATGTGCAGCTCTCTCAATCATTGTGTTGCACTGTCGCTTTAGG